CGTGCGCGCTGATTTGCTGCTTTGTTGGATGGTCCTTTCTGCCTGAACGTGACATCTATGAGGACAGAGACCTTGCCCGGACTGGCACTGTCCCCTCCTCCCGCAGCCCACTCTTCACACACAGCGAGACGGATCCTGCCCGAATATGCCAGAGCACGCCCCTCCTCTACCCAGAGCCCTCCATGGCTCCTGGCCACACCGGCCTCCTCCATTCCTGGAACCTGAGGGGAGCTTTCCATCTTTGCACTGTCCGCATCTCTCTGGAACATTCTTCCTTCAGATATCCAGATGGTCTGCTCCTCTCATCTCCTTGAGTTTCTGTTCAAAGGTCCCCCAGGGAGGCCGTCCCTGCCCACCCTATTTAAAATTGCACTTTCCAACCCCCTTCTATTCTTCTCCAAAGCACTCGTCACCATCTGACCTACTTGATGTTTTATTTACCTAGTTTATTGCTGTCTCCTCCATCAGAAGGTCAGTGCCATGAAGATAAGGATTTTTTTTTTTTTTTTGGTCTGTTTTACTCACTGCTGGGTCCCTGTTGCCTACAACGGTGCCTGGCACATTCGAGGTGCTCAAAATATTTACTTTATAAAAAATATAACAGCTTCATTAAGACATAATTCATATACTATAAAATTCACCCATTTAAAGTGTACAATTCAATGGTTTTTTTTTTTTTTTTTTTTGAACAAGCACTCTGTTGCCCTGGCTAGAGTGAGTGCTGTGGCGTCAGCCTAGCTCACAGCAACCTCAAACTCCTGGGCTCAAGCGATCCTCCTGCCTCAGCCTCCCGAGTAGCTGGGACTACAGGCATGCGCCACCATGCCCGGCTAATTTTTTCTATATATTTTTAGTTGGCCGATTAATTTCTTTCTAATTTTTAGTAGAGACAGGGTCTCCCTCTTGCTCAGGCTGGTCTCGAACTCCTGAGCTCAAACAATCCGCCCGCCTCGGCCTCCCAGAGTGCTAGCATTACAGGCATGAGCCACCGCGCCCGGCCCAATTCAACGGTTTTTAGTATATTCACAGAGTTGTACAACAATCGCCACGGTCAATTTTAGATTTCATTAGTGCTCACTCTCTATTTCTCCCCATCCATGCCGTCCCTGGCAACCACTAATCTACTTTTTGACTCTACAGATTTGCCTATTCCGGACATTTCATATAAATGGAGTCATATAATATGTGACCCTTTGTGACTGGCTTCTTTCACTCAGCATGTTTTCAAGGTTAATTCATGTTGTCCCATGTATCAGTACTTCATTCCTTTTTATTGTCAAATATCACTTTTTATTGTCAAATGTGGTCTGTATATACCACATTTTGTTTATCCATTCATTAGTTGATGAACTTTTGGGTTGTTTCCACCTTTTAGGCTATTAAATATCAATTTTTGAGTGAGTGGTTGTGTTAATTCTGATATGGAACCTACCTTTCTGCTTTAGGGAGATTAAACTGACAGTGGCAGTAAATGACAGATCTATTTCTTCTTCTCCCCCGGCCCCCTCAGAGACAGGGTCTTGCTCTGTTGCCCCGGCTGGAGTGACGTGGTTTCATCAGAGCTCACTGTAACTTCAAACTCCTGGGCTCAAGCAATCCTCCTGCCTCAGCCTCCAAAGTAGCTGGGACTACAGGTGCACGCCACCACACCCAGCGAATTTTTAAAAATTTTTTGTAGAGGGGTTGCCCAGGCTGGTCTTGAACTCCTCACTTCAAGCGATCCTCCCACCTTGGCCTACCAAAATACTGGGATTACGGTCATGAGCCACAGTGCCCAACCTACTGATGTATTTCTTAATGTCCTTACCTGGCAAAATAAAACACTGGAATCCTTCTGTTGACATTAATGGTACAAGGGCATGAAAGGCCAAAGTCTTGGAGCTGCTGTAGATCCCTAAAACCTAGAATGTGAGCTTGGCTCAGGAAAGCCAAGCCTTGTCCCTCTGGCCCTGCCATGTGGCTCAGACCATGACTGGTAAACAGGAGAGCAGAATGCAGTGCTTCTTAAGCTGGGCTATGGTGCCCCTCTGGCGGCACACACTGATGTTCTGGAAAGACTACATTTCCCAGCCTCCCATGCAGTAAGAGGCGGTCATATGGCTAAGTTCTGACCAATGGGATGAAAGCAGGCTTTTCTTCTCTTTGCTCCTCCCTCCTTCCTGCTGGTTGGAATGTGGACAAAATGGCTGGAGCTTAAGCAGCCCTAAGTGGAAACCACTGTTTATAGACGCTAGCAGGACCCGAAAAGTGGTGATTGTGGAGATGCCACACCACCTCTGGTCTCCCGTATCTGCTTGAGAGAGAAACAAATGTCTGCTGTTCTGAATGTAAACAATTTAAAATGTAAAATGTTGTCGTGTGACTTCAAGAAGTCTGCCACACACAGCCAAATCCAGTCCCACCGGATGTGCCTCCATGACCCTGGATGAGGAAACTGTTGGTGACATCTGCCCTGGGACATAATTTTACTCCAAGGTTTGACAGAAAGAACAATTTCCCCCTTTTCATTGTTCACAGAGCTAATTTAATCCATTTTACCCTTTCTTTTTTATCCTAAAGCAAATGCATGCATTCTGACGAAGGATGGAAGACATCCAATGAATTTTTAAGAGACGTTTTGTGTTGTCTGCTTGTGACCTTCCACCCCAAGGTCCTCTATGGGTGCCCAGTCCCTCCACTGCCATCAGGAGCATCACTGATGGAACCATCTCAGGCAGCAGACAGGCCTGCATTGGAATCCTGAGTCTACTACTTCTTAGCCACCTGATCTTGGGTGAGCCACTTCACCTCTCTGACCCTCAGTTTCTTCCTCTGTGAAAACGGGGATAATAATACATGCCTTGACAGATGGGTGGAGGTGTGACTTGATTCTCTCTATGAGAGGCCCTGGCCCAGAGCTGGGCACAGGGTAGGTGCTCTGTACTCCCATCCCAGGGGCTAACCTGACCATTTCAGACATGGCTGACTCCCTCCATCAGAATCACACTCAGAGGCAGTTCCACAAAAAAGGACGGTTTAATAGATTTCAGCATGTTTCCACTTGACAATGTTATATGAAAATAGAATTCTTTATTAAAATAGCCATAACAATCACTGCTACTCAGGAAACACCGTTTATAAAAAAAAAGCATCAAAATCTTGCCCAAAATGACTTTGGGCAAGACATTTGGACTCTCAGAGCCTGTTTCTCCATCTGGAGAACGGCAGGTAAGATATCACCAGCTCCCTGTGGGGGGGTCCACCGGTGGGGGAGGTGGCTCTGGGTGGTCCATGTGGTGAGCAACGTACTCCTCCTCTGTCCCTGGAGAGAGTCAGGGAGATGCCAGTGTGGCCTTAAGGCAATTAACACTTGCTCATCTCATTTTGTAACGGAGAAGAGACAGCTCTAAGGCTCTGAGCCTTGGCGACACCAGCATGGAGCCCCCCCTACTCCCGCAAATTTATTTTTCACAGCCACTTTCTATTTTTGGCAGCGAGTGATACATGTTGTCCATTACTGGCAGCAATCGAAAGAAGTTCCCTTTTCCTACAAATTTAAGCTTAAAAAGCGAGTCTGTTTAAAGGAGAATATTTAGTAAACAACAATATAAAATACAGCAAATAATAATAATAACAATGTTCAGGAAACACTTCATTAGTTAAACCTAAGAATACTTCTAACACATGTCCTGCAATTTTGTGATCCATAAGCAAGGTATGAAGAAACACGATGACGTATAGGCACCTTCCTAACCAACCTGCAGCAAGTAGCGAACCCACTCATCTCTCTCTCTTTTCTCTATAGCTTATTTTTTTTTTAAGGAGAAAAAAATAATAAAGATTAAAACAAGGGCACGTTTATAAAAAATCATTGCCTCCTGAGCGTACTTCAATATCCCAGGTGCCAGCTGGAGCTGCCTGGTGGGAGAACCGTCTTTTCCTCGAGTGACTCGGTAATGATCGTGGCTCCAAGGAGGTGCCACCTTTAAAGGGAGTTGGCCCTTCTCTGAAGGTAGGTGAGAATCTAGTCTCAGTGACAACCCAGCCTGATTCGGAAGGGGGAAGTCGTAAGGGCTTCCCCCCAGCACAGCAGGGCTGCAACCTGTGAGACCTTCGTAGCTATTTCTGCTGGCGCTTTCTTCCTTCCCTTCCAAGCCAGGATGAGGCAGCTGAGCGTTGCCATGGAAACCGGCTTCATCCTCCCACAGGAGGCTGCCAGCTCCGATTTCCTGCAGAGTTAAGAAGCAGGCGGCAGCGGGGGTCACCCAGGCGTGAAGATGGGTTTCCCTGGGGATATCCTGCCTCCTGCCAATCACAGTGTCTGTCTGGGAATCCGGGGGTGCCTGGAGGCTGAGGGCCAGGGAAGCCCCCAAGCCCCAGCACTGCTCTGAAAGAGACGAGCCTCTGGAACATTCAGAGGTCGTGGGTCCTGTCCTCTCCCTCCAGATGAAGCTAGAAGGACTTTGTTACGTACGTGTGTGTGTGTGTGTGTGTGTGTGTGTGTGTGTGTCTGTGTCTCATGAGATGCACCCAGGCTGGGTGCCTCTGGCTCCATCAGCCCTTCCAAGTCAAAGAGAACTGCCCACCCCCACCCACCTTGCACTGAGGGAAGAGAGAGCTGCCCATCTGGCATTTGCTCCCGAGACAATAAGTACTTTTGCCGAGTTGTACTAGCTTACAAGCTGTGTGACCCTGGGCAAGTCAATGCACCCCTCTGAGTCTGTTTTCTCATCTGTAAAGTGGGCATAACCATCCTCTCTCCACAGAGATGCTGGGAGGAGTAAAGATACTATGTCTACTGTGCCCATTATAGGCATTTAAAAAGGTACTCAATAAACAGGACCTCATATTAATAAAAATACATTATTTACCATCATACTAAAGGTTTGCAGGCAATTTTTCTTTCTCTCTCTTTTTTTTTGAAGAGACAGGGTCTCGCTCTCTTGCCCAGGCTGGAGTGCAGTGGCACAATCATAGCTCACTGCAGCCTCCAACTCCTGGGTTCAAGCGATCCTCCTGCCTCAGCCTCCTAAGTCACCGGGATTAAAGATGTGAGCCAGAGTGCCCAGCCAATTTTTCTCTTTAAGCTGCTTTTTTCTAAAATGGAGGCAAAGGCAAGTTTTCATCACTGATCTGTTTGTTCAAAGGGTGGTGCACCCAGGCTGCGATGGACAGTTGGTCGTTAGACCAATTAGCTGGTCCCCGCCACCTCCTACGATAGCACTTCTAAGAGTCAGAACAGGGTCTCAAACTCAGATGCCCTCAGGGCCAGGAGTCACTGTGAATGGAGAGTCAGACCACGCCAGAACCCTGGGTAACCAGAGAGCACATGCCCTGCGGCTGCCACTCAGCCCTGGCCAGCTGTTACCTTCAGGGACGTGGGCTGCACGTGGCCAGATCTACCACGTTTTCAAGAGAAGCTGGACATGCTGAATTAACTCTCCCAAAGATGATAACAACTAAGGTAATTTTTTTCAGGCGAAGGCCAAACAAAACACGTCCGCCCAGCGCTGGAGCCCCTGCACTAGCGCGGATGACATCGGCGTCTCCTCTGTGTCAGTCTGTCCAGTCCCGGGAGCTGTCCCATCAGGGCTGCGTCTTCCTTAGCTCCCTGAGTCTCTTGACGCCGGGAAAGCCCATCCCACCTGGCGCCCATAACTTCAGAACACAGCCCAGTGTTCAGAGGGTGCCCCAGCCTCGGGAAGCCTCCCGCCTTTTCTCAAGTCTCGGTGTGAACAGAGCGATGCGGGAAGTGTCCAGTGGATAGGGCGCCCAGGGAAGCAGACATTCTAAGGGACTCCTTTGGCTTCGGCTAACTTCGTAGTAACTGGGGCACAGAGTAATTTCGATGCTGGGTTCTGAGTGGCCCTTCTGTGGCCAGCGCCTGCTCCGGCTGCACAAGGCCTGGGGTGCACCGGTTGTTAAGAACTTGGGGGGTGACGGTCTGCGAACTGCGGGCACAGCAGTGAGGGCTCCTAGTTCTGCCTCGTCCGTGTTAGCTTCTGTGCGTGGCACAGGCACAGTGAGCTGGAAGCAGAAGGGGTCTGATTTGGGAACCAAAACTTTACAGCAGAGACTCCGTAGAGCTTCTGATGTCTCTTCTCTGGTCACCTCTCTTGGCTTCCCCTCTTTCCCCTGCCCTGGGCACAGGCTTCCGGGAGAAAAAAGACAAAGTGGTGATGCTACCACCCACACCCAGGCCAAGGTGCGGACATGGAGAGCTGGGAGGCTGGGGCAGGCTGGCGGAGGGGCGCGAGCAGGCCCGCTGCGCCCGCGTCTCACGGCCGGATGCGGTAACGGACGGGTACGTCGCGCTCCGGCTGCATCAGCCCGAAGCCGTACCTGCTGAGGTCAAACTCGGGCATCTCCACATCCGCGCTGATCAGCTCCAGGTCCAGGTGCGCCAGCACGAGGAACACAAATCTGCAGAGAGGTGGCGTTGAAGGTGTGAGAACCAGGCAGGGGAACAACGGCTTCCTTCTGAGTCTGACCCCAACTCTCACTTCGGGAAAAGCGAGAAGAGGAGGGCAGAGAGGGGAGAGCAAAGGCATTTGCTGCTCACCCGAAGGCCAGGAGCTGCACCTCTGCCAGCGCCCTGTAGGTCAGGCAGGCCCGTGGGTGAGTTCCAGCTAATGGGCTCTGACCGGAAGTGTCATGAGTCACTTCCCCATCGAAGCAATTCAGAGCCGGTGTGTGTGCCTCTCCAGGCTCCCCTCCTGCCTGGCAGCTGTGCGGGCTTCACGTTGAGATGGTGGAGCCGAAAGACGGAAAGAGCCTGGCCCCTGAGTGTCTGCGTGGAGGGGAGAAGCCCCGCAAACCCACAGCCAACGCTGTGTGAGTAGCAACTAAACCTCTGCTGGTAGAAGCCACTGACACCGGCAGTCCTTGTCACAGTAGCAGAGCTGAGCTTATGCTGCTGAGTACAGTGGCTCTTCTGGTCCCTCCTGCCCATCCCCATGCCCCCGTTTCTCCAAACTCCTGGAGCCCCCACTGTCTGTCCTGGTCAGGGCTGCTGCTAGCCCACAGGTGCCTGTGTGAGATTAGGGACAGGCACCGTTCTCCCAAGACATTTCACCGCCATCTCTGACAACTGTCCTAACAGACCCACTTTGTGAGAATGAGCGCTCTCTACTGCCATCTCCTGGAAAACTGTGAACATACAAAGCTGCCATGTCTATGATGTAATCAGCGCCCCCAGAAATGTGGGGCCGGCCTGATGGATGTTAACTGGTTCCTGCCCACCCGTCTTGTCTTACTTGCCACTGCCCGTGTTCGTAAGAGTCAGGAGTGTATCTTTCACGACCCTGCGTCCCATCACTATGCCCCTACGCCCCCAGGTCAGGGCTGAGCATACGGTAGGGATTCCTTAACCTTACTGAACCAGTGAACAGAGAGGCGTTCACACTCTGGACAGGAGACCGGGGATGTGCCACTTATGTGTACCTGCTTTGCCAAGTTTCTTTCCCACTCTGGGTCTCAGTTTTCCCCTCTGGCCAAAGAGAGGAAAGGCTGATGGATCCTTCCAGCCCGGACGCTGCAGGATACTAGAGCATGAGTTCCTGGGGGGTGGAGGGTTCTGTGCCCGCGCCTGCATCGAAACCCTGGCACCTCTGCTTCCCAGGAGCATGGCCGTGGCACATGAGCTGACCTGTCTAGACTCAGTTTTTTGTTTGTTTATTATTATCATTATTTAGACAACTCACCTGGATAGACTCAGTTTGAGACTGATAAACTACCTGCCAGGTTTGCCATGGCAATTAAGTGAGATAAAAACAACAACAAATTAGCTAATTTACTGAAACATATATGCGCCAGACACCCGCTAAGCATTCAGCGTCCACTATCTCTTTTTATCTGTTTGAGAACTTGATGGGGGGCTGACAGCCCCTACGGTGGCCGCGCCGGTCCTCTCGAATTCACAGCCCAGGAAAGAGCTTCGGACAAAAGGGCTGGAGTCAAGTCAGAGACGTTAAGCTGTGGAATATCACAAAACACCGTATGCCACCAAGATCTCCTACCGGCCCTTTTCCGATTTTACTGCCATGTTTACTATTTAGTTTACTGTGCGTGCATGTGTTACTTTCCTCCTAAAGACATTCGAAATAGATCTATGTTTTGTTTGCCTTAAGCACAATGCTGGGCACAATGACGGAGTTCAGTAAATATGTGATAAATGCATGAATAAAGACCTATCAAAAAGGACCACGGGCTGGTTGCAGTGGCTCCTGCCTGTAATCCTAGCAGTTTGGGAGGCCCAGGCCTGAGGATTGCTTGAGGCCAGGAGTTCAACACCAGCCTAAGCAAAAGTGAGACCCTGTCTCTATAAAAAAAAAAAAAAAAAAAAAAAAAAAAAAAAAAATAGAAAAATTAGCCAGGCGTAGTGGCGCTTGCCTGTAGTCAGCCAGTGCCAGCTATTTGGGAGGCTGAGGTAGGAGGATCACTTGAGCCCAGGAGTTTGAGGTTGCTGTGAGCTACGATGTCGCTGCTGCACTCCTGCACTCTGGCCCGGGCAACAGAGTGAGATTCTGTCTTAAAAAAAAAAAAAGACAACAGAAGGCCACGAGACAATATCACAACCTTCCCACCAGCCAAGCCCTTCTACTGTCAATTGTCTGTGCGCCAAGGGGCATGGAGATACGGAGATGCACAGAGAAATTTCTACCATTCTAGTCGTCATACTAATTCTCCTGGGTTTTAATAAAGTACCCTGTAGGTTGTGAATCCTAGTGGAGATGTGAAGACTTGTCTCTGAACGGACTGTAAGCTTCTGGAGAGCAAGGACTGTTAGTCCGCTCTCGTTATCTCCAGCTCCTTCCACGACTTTGTACATAGCAGGGGCTCAGTTTGTGGAATGAATAAATAAAGAGGAATGGAAAAAATCCTAGGTTTTGCAACCTCAAAAAAAAAAAAAAAAACTCGATGGGGTAGGAACTGCGGTCAGTTCTGCTCTAACACTTGTTTCGAACACGGGAATTTGTCCCAGCGTGACTGACATATTAGGGCATGATTTGAGCATCACAAAAAGTCCGAATTTGCTCGTGTGCGATTTCATCTGCAAGGAACACAAAGTGAACACAAAAAACCGCACCCAGCTCAACCCTGCTGTGCAGGAATCCACAAAACATATGCACGCACATACCTACACGTCTCCCTACAGCCGTATTTACTGTAGCGCTTACATATTTCTTAACCACTTAACACATGTAAGACTATACTACCATTTTTTGTTGGGTTCTCATCTTTTTTTTTATGTGCCACTGATGAGGTTTTTGAGTGCTGGGCCCCAGCCCCCTTCTCCCCATAATCCCTGTGATTTTTTTTTGCACGACGTCACTTGATTATTATACTCATAATCAACTATACTACGGTCTCATTTTATTGTTGGGAAAACTAAGGCCAAAGAGTAAGTGCAATGTGCCCATTCACTTAGCACTATAATAATGATACTATTATAATATCTGCACATTAATAATGATATTAGTAATAAGGATAATAATAAACATTGATCAAATGTCTACAACGAGCCAGGCACTGGCTCCTTCTAAGAACTTAGAAGGATCCAATTCATTTATCCTGACACCCCTGGGATGTGCTTATAATCAGAACCCCGTTTTACAGTTGAGGGAAGAGAGGTTCCGAAGGTCACCCGGCCTATGATCACATACAGGCTAGACAGAGGACTGGGCAGATGTCCTAACCTCTGATCCAGTCCGTTTGTAATCCTGGGGGCCAAGGCTCTGGGGTCCAGGGAAGAGAATGTATGAGGCTCTCGGCCCCCACAGGCGTCACAATAACCAACCGGGAACAGTGAGGTTCAGCCAGTTCCCGCAGCGAGGTTCTTTCTGAACATGCCACAGCAGCTGCAGACAGACAGCTATGGTCAGCTGCACGGAATGTCCAGTGCGTGGCATCCGGCACCAGTCTCAGAGGGAAGAACCTGCTGCCAGATCTGATTATTTCAAAAGAAATCAGAAATCTGACTTTTGACGTGAGTTCTGATCCTTACAGGTTAGCGCACAGTAAAAAGACACACAGATAAATAGATTTGTGGGTAGGAGACAGCTCACGTGCCGTCCGTTTAGAGCCTCTGCCCGGAACCATTCTCCTGGCCGAGCCCCTCAGCCTCAGGAGAGAAGGGCAGTGCCAGCCTGCCCCCGCCCCACCCCTGCCGGGCCCCCACTCACTGTTTGATGCTGTTGGTGGCATAAGTCCTCCCCAGGCACTGATTGTGCCCTGCCCCCCAAGGCATGCTGTAATTCTTCAGCCGTTTGCCATCCTTGTAAAAGTCTTTCTTCTCTGATCCGTCGGGGTTCAGGAATCGGTTGTATTTAAACACCTGAAGTAGGAAGAAGATCCATTTCTGACCCCACACCCACAACAAGGCTGCACCAAGAAAAATGTCTGAGGCTGTTCATCACAGCCGTGTCGATAGGAGGAGAAAAACTGCAGACAATGTAAAGGTCAATTGATGGAGGACTGGCTAAAAAATGATTGCGAAAGGTTTGTGTGTGCTGACGTGGAAAGAATCTACAACTGGCTGTTGAGGGACAAAAGCAAGTGTCAGGATAGCATGTACGGTATGATCCCACACACACACTGATCTATCCATGCGTGTATGTGTTGTGTGTATGTCCGTAAAGGCATAAAACAAATTAAAGCTGCGGTTCCCAACCCCTGGGGCGCACCCCGGTACGGGTCCGTGGCCTGTTAGGAAAACAGGGAACAGGCAACACCACCTGAACTTTGCCCCCCCGTCACCCCACCCCTGCCACCCCGTTTGTGGAAAAATTTTCTTCCATGAAACTAGTCCCTGGTGCCAAAAAGGTTGGGGACCACTGACTTAAAGGATACACTCCAAATAATGGTTAGGGAACTCT